CCCCCGTAGTGGCCTTTCATTTCTTTTTCTTATCTCTCTCCTTTTGCAATACTTTCATAATGTTGAGGTATAAAATATTCACAGCTGTGTGCAAAGGGCACACCCCCCAAGTTCAACGAATTTCTATGTATGCAGATACCGGGCAACTACCATTCAGATCAAGATATTAAAACTCCCAGCACTCCAGAAGGTTCCCACAAGCCCCCTCCCAGCCAGTACCCTCCCACCCCCCAACAGTCAGTTCATCTTTGAAGCTCTCTCCTTTTGCATCACCACATGAGACCAGGGACTTTGCGGTTTAGGTGACTCTAGCACTGGGGAACTTAAAATCCACTGAATTCATCCTCCTACCTCAGAGTGCACCATGTTCTCAGGATCTCATATGTAACCTGTGGTTACCAGAAAGAGATCCTGAGCCTTTTTTTCTGCTCTGAGTTCCCATATTAGACACTGCTCTACACGTTAGGGCCCCAGCTCTGGCTGAACTCCTTATGACCTGGGCCTGCTTATGCCAGGCCACCTTGAGGAAGGAAGATGGCTTGGTAACTTCCTGGCCTCCAGGCACCTAGATCTTTTTATCGCAAAGTTCTGGGGCACTAAATAGGAGAACAAATCAGAGGTGACTTGGAAGGAGAGGCCCAGCCCTATACTCCTAGCCCTTTGTTCCCACTAGATGTCTCAGAGCCCCTCACATTCAACTTGTCCCAAAGCTAACATCTCCTCCCACCAGACCTGCTCTTGCTTCTTTGGTCCCATTTCTGCCAGTTAGCATCACCCCCGCCAGTGCCCAGGAAATCCCTATCTTGATCCACCCCCTCCACATACATACTTTCTCTTTCCATTCTTGCTCTTGACCCTTACGAGGGGCCTCTCTTGTGTTCTCCTGCTCACTCCAGGGGGACCCTCTTGTTCTCAGACACAAGATGCTCAACCCAGCAAACTGCTGTTCTCTTCCACACCTTGCCATGAATGCACTTCTCCAAGTTCAACCATCAAACTCTTCTTCAATCATAAAAACCCATCCCAAGGCTGGGAGTGAACTCAGGAGAAGAGGGCTTGCCTGGCATGCAGGAGGTCCTGGGTTCCATCCCCAGTCCTGTCTGTCAATCAAACACACCAACTCAAATGCCACCTTCTCTTTGATGAGCTCCCTGATCACTCCCATAGCTGCCTGAGACTGAACAGACCCTACAGCACCTTCCTCAACATTCTGCAGGGAGTCTGTCTACGCAGTCAGGCTGGGAGCCCTGTGAGGAAAGCATGGCTTGCCACCCATTCCTGGGTATCCAGGGCCTGGCAGC